CACCTGCATAAGTCCAAGTTATGCCTGCCTCTTAGGATATGTGGAACAGTCCATCTTCTGCAGCTACACTGGCACCATCCCTTACCTCTTCCTCCACTAGATTGACTGACTGTATCGGTGCTGCCTCGTGCTCCCAAGAGGAGCTTGAACAGTTCATCCGCTTAACCAACATCTTTCACCTCGACCTCCAATACACCTGGACCATCTCTGACATCTCCCTCCCCTTCCTGGACCTCTCTGTCTCCATCTCCGGCAACTGACTTAGCACCAACATCCATGTCAAACTCACTGACTCCCACAGCTATCTTGACCACACCTCCCCTCACCCACCCTCTTGCAAATCCCACACTCCCAATTCCTCTGCCTCTGCCGCATCAAGTTCACCAGCTTCAAAATCTCCCTAACCCCAGCCTCATCCCATGTCCAACCCTCCCTCTCATCCCCGCCTCCTTGACCTGACACAACCTGTCCATCTCCCTTCTCAACTATCTGCTCCACCCTTCCCACTGACCAATCTCTACAACCCCCTACCTGCATCCACCTATCACCATCCCACTTACCACCCCTCTCCAGCCTCACCCTCCCATTTATTTCTGAGCTCCCTTACCCCTCTCCCCAGCCTTGATGAAGGGTCCAGACCCAAAACATCAACTTTCCTGCTCCTGCTGTGCTCCTCCAGCTCCACATTTTATCGACTGTGACTTCCAGCATCTGCAGTCCTTACTATATCCATGTATAAAGTTCGGGTAGGTGCAACGATCCTGAACAAGCATGTGGACTGTATAAAAGCTGCAAACTTGCAAATGGGTTGGGAGCAAATTGTGCCTGGTTCCTTGAGAGCCTTAATGACTGTTCCAGAACCAGTGGGTTCTCCCTGTCCATCAAGCTTTGAAGATACTTCAGAATTTGAGATGGTCATGGTGAATGTTGCCATCTCTATGTTTTTGCTGTCTGCAGAAGAGAATGAAATCCTTCTGAGATGTTCTGGGCGCAGAAGGCAAGCTACTGTGTGTTACACACCACCCATTTCAGAGGCAGATTTGGAGGAACCTGACCTGGTGCTAGAACACCCCAGGAGGAGCTACAAAAAAACGAACCACCTATGTCCTCAGACTCATAGGGAGAGGGATGCAGTAATTGTAATGAGGTCAGGTAGCCAGGTAGACCTTATCAGAAGAATTCCCTGATTGGGGCTGTTAATCTAGTGAATCGGGCAGTCTGGCTGACAGATATATAAACAGGAGTGTCAGAGGTTTTGTTCACTCTGAGGAAACTGAATCAGTGTCAATGACTGTCCATGTAACTAATGGATGACTTGCGATGGGATACCAGCCCCTGTGGAGTTATTTCAATCCCGGTGTTTTGACAGTTTTCTCCCAATTGTTGAAATGTCTCTCTTTTTGTTTTAGCTTATCCTTCCATGTGAGCCATATCAAAGATTTACATCAATCCTTCACCTTGCCTTTTCAGTGTGGCATCAGCATCTCTCTACCTCGTCCCCGTGCCCACTCTGCTTTACCATTGTCTGTATGTAGGCAAACCCAAAGGAAAAACCGTCTCGCAGTGTTGCACCATGGGATTTGGAAAAGGGCCCAGTCACTGACTGTAAGCAGTTGTGTGGAGATGCTGCAGCATTTGCAAAAATCTTTCTCATGGCATCTGGAGCAGGGAGGAAGAAAACCTCTGGGTAATGACAGCAAATTGACAGTCTCTGCTAACTGCGGACTGCACTTGAAGTAGTTCTTCTGCAGTATACGAACTGACACTCAGTCAAAAATAAAGCCCTGCTGTTTTCCTGATATAAAATATAATTCATTTTCATCACTCTCTGAATAGCACTGCTTGGGAGGGTTATTGAGGCAGGAAACCTCACAGTCTCCAAAAAGATGAACATTTGAAATGTCATAACGTTTGAATCTATGGGTGAGATGCTGGTAAGTGGGGCGAGTGCAGATTCAACAAGATGCAGAGCTGGATGAACACAGCAGGCTAAGCAGCATCATAGGAGCAGAAAGGCTGACGTTTCGGGCCTAGCCCCTTCATCAGAAATGGGGCCCCACCACTTCCATACACACACTACCCTCTGTGGAAAAATTTGCCCCTAAGGTGCCTTTTAAATCTTTTCCCCTCTCTCCTTAAACTTATGCCCTCTAGTTTTGGACTCGCCTACCCTGGGAAGAAAAACCTTGCCTTTTCACTCTATCCATGCCCCTCATGATTTTATAAACGTCTATAAGGTCACCCTCCAGCCTCCGATACTCCCGGCATCTCAAGTCCACCTCTTTCACTGGAATTCAGTTAACTGTTTGTAGTGAAATCCCCTTCCATTTTCCTGCTAGCTCTGCCTGTTCGCATAGCCCTTGTTGGCTTAGCCCTTGCTGATACAGGCTCAACCTGTTCCTTTCCAAGCACACATTTTACACTGAATGTGTGATGGTGGTGTTGTTGATGGGGTTATTTGGCTGGTGAGAGGGGATTTTGTGGGAGATAGGTTGGGGTCTCCATCCTATGTCCAATGCTGTAATACCTTCGTAGGTCATCACTAGTAAAAAGGCACTCATCGGTAAATCACCAATCCCTGGTGAGGAAGATGGCAGGCAAGTTCATTTAAGTTGTGGGGCTTTCAACCAAACTTTTTTCATTGAAGAATCACGAGCTTTCCTGCTTGCAGCTCCATGGTGCAAACAAAACTTCCCATGCTTGAGTGATGTTTGCTAGATTCTAACAGCAGGCTGAAAAGTCTAGTGTTAGGATCCATTGTACACTGTGTAGTTAAGTTAGGCAGCAATGTAAGATTCTGGATCTTGTATGAAATCAAGCCTTTGATCAGTTTCTTTTAGAAAATGAGGCAAAAATATAACTGAAACAAAAGTTTGTGGTTCTTAACTGCTATCTTAGAGGAATAGATTGGCAACAATGGCAAGATATGCACAACCTCTATCTGTCAACTACATTTTTCCGAGACTCCTGTCATTGGTTGCCCAATTTAGGCATCATCATAGAGCCTTCCCAATGCTTTTCACTGTTGGCCTGGCTTTGATTTTTGAAGCTCTGGTAAGCTGATTTCATCCAAACCTCTCCTGCCCATACCCTAACTTATACGACATCTTGTTCAGCCATCACTCTGTGCTTATTGACCACCTTTGGCTCCCAGTCCAGTGACAACTTTATTTTAAAATTCTCGCACTTTTTTTTCAAATCCCTCAAAGGCCTCACCCCTCCCTGTCTGTTTAACGTATCTAGGCCTAAGATCCTCAAAAATCCCTGTGCTGCACTAATTCTGATCACTAAGAGGTCCTGGATTTTCTTTGATGTACCCACTGGGAAACATTTCTTCAGCTACCTTAAGCGTGGGCTCCTGAATTTCCTCCCTAGCCCTGAATGAATCCCTACCCCTCTGTCTTCCTTTAAATTGTCTGTTGTTGTTGATGATCTCGGTAGCGTGTAACTGATTCATGTCTCACGATCTACCCAGTTTCATTTCTTCAATGCTGGTCTGAAAACAAACTTTTTTTTTGTCCTACTTCTGTAAATCATGACCAAAGTAAATGCCTGTCTTTGAAGCAGGAGCAGAGACGCTTATTCAGGGTGAGGTCTCAAGCTCTTTTGGAATTCAATTAAACTAATTTTCATCAACCCAATTCCACCCCACCCTCCCCAACCCCAACCCCAACCCCACACCCTTCCTACTGCCCTGTTGCCTGGTGAGAAATTGACAGGATTGCATCAGATACCTGTAGCATAATCTTCCACCCTCCCACTAAATTTTAAACTCAGTGGAAGCTCATGGGGGCATGAGTGACTTTCCTTTAGTACAGGATTGGGGGCTGGATGGGATGGTCGGCGTGGACTTGATGGGCCGAATGGCATGATTTCACACTGTAGGGATTCTTATGAATTCATGGGATGCGTCTGGCTAGCACTTATTCTTAGAAGTCCTTGAGAAGGTGGTGAATACACGAGTACTGAAGCCTTACCACTTTTGCACAGGGCTTTGGTGAGATCACATTTGAAGTGTTGTGTCGGATTTGATCACCGTATCATAGGAATATATACCCAACTGCAAAGGCATGCAACAAAGGTTCAGTGGATTGCTTTTTGGGATATGAGTGTTATACTATGTAGAGACCTGAGCAGGTATAAATCTGTACTTTAGAAGAATGAAATATGATTCACTTGAAGCATTTAAGATTCTTCAATGGCTTGACAGGGTGGGTGGATGCTTAGAGGCTTTTTACACCCCCCCCCCACCCCTCACTGGAGAGTCTTAAGTAAGTGAGTGAAATCTCGGGATAAAGGGTCAGCCATTTTACAGTGGGATGAGGAAGAATTTTTTTTCCCAAGGTTTGTGAATTCTCTCTGGAGAGAGTTGAAGACACTCAGCTGTTGATAGAGAGGCTGAATGGCCTTCACATTTCCCAAATGTGACTGAGTTCCTGTCACCCACCCAGCTTGTCCCCACATTTCCCATGCCTAATCCACCTTCCCTGCACGTCTTTGGACTATGGGAGCAAACCGGGGCACTAGGTGGAAACCCACCTAGAGGCAAGGAGAACATGCAAACTCCACACAGACCAAAGGGGTGGAATCGAACCCGGGTCCCCAGCACTGTGAGGCAGCAGCTGCCTTCCTACACAACAGGCTCCAGGGGTTGAATGGTCTCCTCTTTATTTGTCATAGGTGCTGGGATTGAATACCCTACATTTTCCCATGGAATGTGATTGAGGTGTTGTGTGGCCTTTTCTTCTCATGTAACAGACCGGAGGGGCTGAATAGCCCGCTCCTCTTCTTACGCAGACATTGCAGAGGGACAGTCGCCTTCCACCCGAATGAGTTAACAATGCAACACCAGTAAATTCCCTCTTGAAGAGGAGGCAGATGAAAGCGCTGGCCGGTGAGTTTACCTTGTGATGTGGGGTGATTCTGGGCTTCTCTCATAGGGAGTTTCACTTCGTGACCCAGCATTACGCCAGAGAATGAGGAAACAACATATTCTGGCGTGAAATGAAACAGAAATCCATCACGGGAGCTCACTGGCCAAGAAGCTCAGCTCCGAGAAGGAGCTGCGAGGGGGAGAGAGACACTGCTCTGTCGGGATGGGTCTGCTCTTGGCTCTTGTGATCGTGTACCTTCTGGCTGTGGGGACAGCGCAGAAAGTGTCTAGTGCAGACGGTCTGAAGGAATGTAGGACGAGCCAAAGCTTGACAGCTCTGGAAGTGCTGCCTGGGGGAGGCTGGGACAACCTGAGGAACTTGGACCGGGGCAGAGTGATGAACACGAGCTACTCGCAATGTAAGACCACCGAGGACGGAGCCTATTTCCTCCCAGACCAGGTGTACGTGGTGCCGCTGAAGCGGACCAGTATCGAGACGGTGTCCGAGCTGATCGAGAACTGGCGCACTTACAAAAGCTCCACCAGCGCCTCGGTCAACGCCGAGGTCTCCTTCCTGTCCTTCCTGAACGGCAAGTTCTCCATGGACAGCGAGAGGGTCAAAACTCACCAGGTGCGAGACAGCAGCATGACCACCAGAACCCAGGTGAGGAACCTCATCTATCAGATCAAAACCTATCCCAATTTCCAACTGGACCAGGGCTTTAAGGATCGACTGATTCAGATAGGCAACTACATGGAGAACAACCAGACAAGAGCCGTCTCCTACTACACCCAGCTGCTTGTTCTTAACTATGGCACCCATGTGTTGACTGGTGTCCATGCTGGTGCCAATCTGGTGCAAGAGGACCAAGTGAGATCGAGCTTTGTGTCTGACAGCTGGAGTCGGAAGTCCACCATCACCGCCTCTGCTGGTGCCACCTTCTTCCATACTGTGAATGTCGGCATTGATGGCAACGTCGAAACCATGGCTGAATTCACCAGGCAGTATTTGGGCAACAGATCCCACTCCATGATCGAGAGCAACGGTGGGATTCCCTTTTATCCAGGGATGACACTGCAGAAGTGGCAGCAGGAGATCACCAATCAGCTGGTGGCCATTGACAGGTCAGGACAACCCTTGAGTTTCTTTGTTAACCCACAAACTATTCCAGAGCTCCCGGAACCCACAGTCAGGAAGCTAGCCCAGGCCGTTGACGAAGCCATTTCCCTCTACTACACCGTCAACACGCATCCCGGCTGTTTGGATCTCCACTCCCCCAACTTCAACTTTAGGGCTAATGTTGATGATGGGTCTTGCAAGGATATGGGCACAAATTTCACCTTTGGGGGCATCTACCAGGAATGTACCGGGCTTTCAGGTGCAGATGCCAGGCCCTTGTGCGAGGCACTGGAGCAGAAGAACCCGCTGACAGGGTCATTCAGCTGCCCCTCTGAGTACACAGCTATTCAGCTGCACACAGGGGTAGAGGAGGAAGCCTACAGTCAGTATGAGTGTCAGCGGCGCTGCCATTCATGTTGGGCCTTCTTTAGCTGCTGCAAGGATGTGTGCGGAGATGCTTACTATGTGCGCCGAGCCCAGTTTAAGGCATACTGGTGTGCAGCCATGGGCCCAGTGACCCAGTCCTCGGGCTACCTCTTTGGTGGCCTCTACAGTGCAGATGCTGGGAACCCGCTGACCCAGACCCGCTCGTGCCCGCCATCCTTCTACCCATTGAACCTCTTCCAAGACCTGAAGATCTGCGTGAGTGATGACTACGAGATGGGACTCCGCTACTCTGTGTCCTTTGGCGGCTTCTTCACCTGTGATGTTGGCAACCCACTGGTCCAGCATTCCAAAGCAGGACTGGACACTGTCATGAAAACAGAGCCGAGTGCTTACCCCAAGAAATGCCCGAAGGGTTACAGTCAACACCGAGCCATCATCAGTGATGGGTGTCAAATACTCTACTGTGTGAAATCTGGTGCCTTTGATGGGTTCAATTTGCCCCGCATCAATCTTCCCCCATTCTCACAGCTCCCTCTTCTGACTGCCAGTGCCACTAACACTGTGGTTGTTCTCTCTCAATACCAAGAGCCTTGGCTTAAGGACACTCAGACCAAACTGTGGAGAACAGCCCACGGATCCGAAGTTCACGAGTTGTTTAGCAAGAGTTCTTCCGGCGGGGCCACAGCCGCCATTTCTGTTACTGTTACCCTGGCCCTGGTGGCTCTGATTGCATTTGCTTGCTATGGTAGGAAGCGATGGAGAAACCGTGGTTACCATGCATTGGAGAGATCCTCAGTGATTTCCAACGCTGAGACTGAAGAACATCAAGACCCATCGGACTCATATCCTCAAGGCCAGAACAGTGGTGTCTGATCAGAAAAGATACACCATTGGGTTGGGGGAGGGGGTGAAATTGGGGCTGAGTACCTTGGTGCATCTCATTAAATTGGACTGGCCTGCAGTGTCTTCCTCATTTATTTTTATCCCTGTCTTAAATTTATTCCATTGCACCTGCTTTATTTCTCAGTGATTCTTGGATTCTCAGCATTATATTTTGCTTAATAGCATACTTGGGTACAACTCATTAAATTGGAAGAAGGACTAGGGTGCGGATATTCCTATTTTCAGTCATTTGTTAGTATGGTGAAAGCAAATCAGTCAGTGGGTTGGTTGAATGATAAGGAGACAAGATGGTTTATTGATGGAAATGGGAAGTGAGCAGGAGAGATGGATTAGGCAAGTGTGATATTGAAGGGGACGGGACAGTCACCAGAAGTGTGGATTAAACTGGGTTGGGAAATAAGAGGTATGAGGAATGAATATAATAGTGTGGGTATGGACTGACTAGGATATTCGAGGGTTTGGAAATGAGGAGGAAATTGAGATTAGACCATGTGATAGGGTGAAACGGTTTTTGTCTGAAAACATTCTGTGATTTGATCTTTCTCGAATTCCATAAGTTTTCTTAAAATTCTCAGCATTATATTTTTGTTTAATAGCACTGGTCAATGTATGGTACGGATTTATACAAAACACCCAGATTTGATATTGTGAGTGTTCTATCAACTGGGCTTGTGAATGGAGTGACTGGGGAAGTTAAATGTAATTTTTACTACCCACGGTAAATATTGGGTGTGACAGACTCAAACTGAAATCAACTGCGGAAACTGCTAATAAAATCTCATGAGACAAAAAAAAGATCAAACTTTGAAATGGAATAGATGTGCGTTTGCTAAATAAAAACGAGCTGAATCTATTCACTTGCTTTTTGTACATGTTTCAATAATAATTTTAATTCATATCACACCTTAGTGAAACATTTGGAGTCACTTCATTGTTATTGATCAGCAAGATTTTATGCTGAGCTGTTTATGGAAATCTTAGAAGAACTGACTCATCTCCTTTAAACTGGTAGATTTTAAGGTAAAGGTAAAGTTGCCATAGTTTAACCAGACCGTAGGGCTGCCCTCTCATTAGAGAGAGAGGGAGAGAGGGAGAGAACTGGTGATTCACAGGGTCACCCTGCCTCAGGTAAGGGGAGAGGGTGGGAAAGAGAGTCCTTCATGGTAACCTCAGACAGTGTCGGAATTGAACTCACACTGTTGGTATTACTCTGCTTTGCAAACAAATCATCCAGCCAACTGAGTTCACTGACCCTCGTGCTACGGGTAGGTTAATGGAGTAACTTAATTGCGGTGAGAAAGTTAGAGAGGCGGACATTTAGGCAAAGAATTCCAGAGCTTAGTGGTTGTCAACATCTGGGTTATATCAACCTTGATCAAATTACAGAGCAGACATGATGGGTTAAATGGCCTAATTCTGCTCCTAAATCTTACGGTCTTGTGGGTGAACACAGAAAAAGGAACACAGACCTAATAGGGGAACTAGAACAAAAACAGCCAATGTGGAAATGTGGTAGTTCAAAAAGAACTGTTTCTCAACAGATACTGACTGGCCTGCAATGTCTTCCTCATTTATTTTTATCCTGCCTTAAATTTATTCCATCACACCAGCTTTGTTTATCAGTGATTCTTGGATTAAAAAATTGATTTTGATACACCTTAAACACCAACTCACTTCAGGACCAGCATATTTGCGGTTGTAATGAGCATAATCTTCAGGATTCACTGCAGCACCACTTAAATCTGAAACCTTCACTGCCTCTAAGCACATGGATAGCTGGTGCAAAGGAGCATGATCATGTCCAGGTTCCCCTTCAAGTCACACACTACACTGACTGAATGTATATTGCCCTATTCCTTCTTGTAACTGGGTTAAAATCTGTGGGAGTACTTTTACCACAAGGACTCCAACAACTTAAAGAGAAAGCCTGGCACCATTACCATTTCATAGGCAACTGTGGGTGGATAAACAATACCCATATTACAATAATTTATTTGTGGCTTAACTACAATGACTGATTTGTAGAATATCATTTTTTATTAAATATTATTTCCATTATTGCCAGCCCTCTGAATGTTATGAATAATTGTTTACTATCTCCAAATATTTATTAGGTACATATTTACACAAATGGTGCATTTTTAACCTCTTATTGGACTGAAGATCCATTTAACTGTTCCAGGGTATATTTTCCAACTGTTTGTTACTGGATTAGTAAAGTTCTGGCTAAAGTTCTGGGGGCATGGATTAGAATCTCACCATGGCAGCTGGAATGAAAAGCTAATTCGATGGTGACCATGTAACCACTGACACGTTATAAAAATCCATCTGGTTTACTTTTGGAAAGGAACTTTGCTATCCTTACCTAGTCTGGTCTACATATGACTCTAGACTTACAGAATGTGGTTGAGTCTCAACTGCCCTCTGAGCTGTAAAGGCTGAAAATAAATGCTGGCCTAGCCAGTGACACCTCCATCCCATGAACAAATAAAAAAGAACAGAATTTTACACAATTCATTACACATCACTCCATTTTTTAAGAAGGGCAAAAGAAGAAAACAAGGGAATTACAGACCAGTGAGCCTAACATTTGTGGTGGGGAAATCGTTGGAGTGTGTAATCAAGGATGGGTTAACTGAACACCTCAAAAATTTTCAGTTAATCAGGGAGAGTCAGCATGGATTCATGACCGGTGGTGGTGTGTCTATGTATCTGTTGCCCTTGTCCTTCCAGATGGCAGTGGTCATAGGTTTGATCATTGGGTGTAAGGTATTCTCAGTGTGGCTGTATATGGCACAAGTTCAGTGCATTTCTCACTCCTGTGCCATTGCGATCACGTGAGCCATCTTCTACTTTGTCTGCAGGTGGAAAGTGGACCATGTTTACAGGGTTACAAAAAGCTGAGGTATTACCTGTTGTGTTATTAAGAATGTGTGTGGCCACTTTGCTGTGGAAGTGATGTACCATCTCTCCCTCATATTGAGCACAAGTCCATCAGGTAACAGTTAGCAGTTAACATCTTTAAGCCCGGCAGGAAAAGGAGAGGTTAGGTCTACGGGACGGTTTACTGAGCAGACAATTAAAGCCTGCATCATCACCACCTGCCCCACCCTTTGCCTTCATCTATGTGGTACTATACCTTACCCACTTGCTACTCTGCTCCTTCATCCACTTACGTTATATCATGGCTGGCTAAGTGGCTTTAAGATCTTTAAACATTTTATTTCCTGGAATACAGCAGCTATTGCAGTAAAATGGGATATGGTTTCAGCAATGATCTACTTCAATGCTCCCTTTGTGTTTGCTAATTGGCTTCTGCTGTGATGGATTCTGCATCAGAAATAGAGTTTCTAACTCAGATCAGAAGATTCAAATCAATACTTTTCCCCTACTCCTTGGGCAGTTTCTCCCCCAACCCCCCACAACCTCATTTTATTAAATCCTTTTTGACTCTAATTTAAAACATCAATCTCTACTGTATACAAATACATGAACAAGGAGCAGGATTAGGCCACTCAGCCCCTTTAACCTGCTCCATACTTTAATAAACATTATCGGCCGCAAAATCATGGAATCCCTACAGTGCAGAAAGAGACCATTCAGCCCAATCAGTGCACTAACCCTCCGAAGAGGAGCCTACCTAGACTCCTATTCTATCCCTGTAACCCTATGTTTACCACGGCTAATCCACCTATCCTACACATTCCTGGACACTACGGGTCAATGCTTAGCACGGCCAATCCACTTAACCTGCACATATTTGGACTGTGGGAGGAAACCAGAGCACCCAGTGCAAACCCTTGCAGTCATGAGGAGAACGTGCTAACTTCACACAGATAATCACCCAAGGCTGGAATCGAAGCCAAATCCATGGCATTTTGAGGCAGCAATGCTGACCACTGAGTCACCATGCACCTGATTAAAAAAAAGAAAAATATTCCACCCAAGATATCTTCTGTGCTTTCCTCCTTCAGCTTTTGTAATCAGGAAGTTTTCAGCCTTGAAAATTTTAACTCCCCCTCAACTTACCTTCCACCTTTGAGTACATTGTTCTTTTCCTTGTTGTGAATTCCCCAGTCCGTAACTATGCAGCCAACCCAATGACCATACCAGCTCATGTGGCTTTGCCACTCTAAATGTGATTGACTCACATGATCAGCAATGATCTCATTATATGTCAGAGCTGACTCGATGAGCTGTAAAGCCTACTCCTGCTTCTATTTCTTATGTTTTTAAGACATAAAAGATTCTTAGCTGTCCTTTGAAAGGGCCGAGCAAGTCTCTCATTTCAAGGGCAGTTAGGAATGTGTAAAAATTACTGAGCTTGCCAGCTACGCTCATATCCCATGAAAGCACAACATCTCGTAAAAATCTCAGTATCATACTTGAAATCAAAGTGAGATTTTGGCTGTATATTTGCACTAATCCTGATAACCTATATCAATATCTACAAACTCACAGACCTCAGCACCAAGTTAGCTAATCTATGGCTGAAACCTTTATCCATACTTTACTTACCTTTAGACTTGATTGCACTGCGAACTAGCCAGCCATGTTCTACTCTACTTGTGTCCTATCACGCCATCACCTTTGTGCTCACTGGCTTACATTAACTCTCAGTGAGCCATGTCTCAATTTAAATTCTCATCCTTGTTTTCAATGGCTGCCAGGGCCTCGAGATCCCTTCCTATCTTCATAAAAGCTTTAAAGATTTCTTCACTCTTCTAATTCTGACCTCTTGAACATGCCTGATGTTAAGCACTCCACCATTTATCACTTGTCTTCAACTGCCTAAGCCCTAAACTCTGGAATTTCTTCCCAAAACCATTGCATCTTTCCCAACTTCTTTAAAAGTTCCTATAATCTGCTTCCTTGACCAAGCTTTTAGTAATCTGCTCTAATGTTTCATCATGTAACCTGGCATCAATTTTCTTTTAATAACACATCTGTGAAATGCCTTTGGATGTTTTGGTGCTGTATAATTGCAAAGTGTTGTTATTGTTAAATATTTACTCTCCATCTTAACAATTCTATGCTTGGCCTGGGTGTTTTAGATGTTGGCATGAGTTGCAAGAAATGTGAAATGTTTAATTTGATAAAATTGAAACATCCACATTGGTTAGCATAAAATTCCCTCTATTTTGCACTAGATAAATCAAATTGCTCCATAACTTTCAATGGTTTTTCCTTTCATCAGTTCCAATTAGCAGCTTGCATGCATTTGTCAGAGCAGCATATTTCTGAGAATTTTACAAAGTGTCATTACTGGTACACATCGATGGTTCAGGAAACACGCTAAAAAAATTGGAGCAGTGCTCATTTAGCCTCTCATTTTTTTTTACCATTTATAGACAGAAACCAAGACCCTGCGTCTTCAGGATATGAGGGTAGTGTTCATTTCTGGTGTAATGAGTTAAAATCAGGTTTTTGAACTCTGACTGCACATCCATTCGCAGCTGAAACGATGAAATCCAACAACATCTATGTGCACCTCAAACTCTTTAGTCTAGGTGAGTAAAATTGCTGCCAGCAGCTGAGAACAAAATGATTAGGAGCTCAGTCGACTGCAGCCAACTGGGGACCTGTTTTGTTAGAATGACATTGATTCTTACAAGAGATTACACTGTTGTAGCTGCTTTGAATTACAATTTGTCATTTTTCAGTTTTCTGAAGAGCTTTTCTGAATATATTGGATTTGTCACTTCAATGGAAAGCTCCTCAAATAACCAAATTACAAATGATTAACAAAAGATTTCAATTGAAAGAAATCTTGATGTCCTTTAGCAAACCAACTTGAGGGAACTTAATTAGTTAAGGTATTGACTGAAACTTATATGGAGTTCTGACGGGGTA